AATTAACCGCATAAAGTGTCATTTTATTCCCAAGATCAACCATCTTCAGTGTATATCATGTTTCGAATTAGATATTGTTTTCATGAAACTAGAAAAGTTGTATGAAATAAATTACGGGACTTCTCAAATATCATTTAGAAAAATGTGCAACGGAGGAAGTTAAGTGAGAGATATATAGTATTATTGAATCATCTTTTTGTTATTTGAAATGAATTAATGAAGCCGACCGGTTTGTTAAGAAAGTGCAAGACCCAATGAATATTCCCACAGTCGGACATAAACAGAAATAAATGAATATCTGTCTATCTCTTATGTACATTTATCCATGTCTGTCCACTAGATATGCGTGTTTAGACAGATAGATATGCATTATCTATCTGTGTATATGCAGGTTCGTACTATAAATATTTTTTTTTTAGTCGAACCTCGAACAATTTTCACAAACAAACCGACCCATGTTTTAGCCATTTCTCCTTTTCTTAATCATTCCTACCGTCAACAACGTTCTTGAAAATCAGGATAACAAGACGATATAACGTCATATTGACACAAGAATAATACAGTCCGAATAAAAAAACTCCGACACGAAGAATTTCAAAAATCTTCCTCATTTACACGAAAAATTGGATCACTTTTCCGGTGAAATGGTCTTCGCGCAAACACCGATCGTTAACCGTAACGAAGCTTTTTTTTTTTTTTTTTTTTTTTTTTGGCTTGGCGTGAATCCTTTCCAGGAACGGCGTCGGCGGAGGAATGGAGGATTGAGGCTGCGGGATTACCTCTCCGAGTTTCGTCCTAAATTCCTTTCTGTTTATTCAGTTTGGATCTATCTGTCTATAAATTTATGTATATGCGTGTGTATATATGCGTGTGTGTGTGTATATATTTATTAAATATGTATATACATGTATATATGTGCATACACAAACACGCACAACACACACACACACCACACACAACACATACACAGACACAGGCACAAACACACACACACAGACACAGACACAAACACACACACATACACAGACACACAACACACACATACAACACACACACATATACATATATATATTCATACACCCACACACCCACACCCACGCCCACCCCCCAATCACCGACCTCCGTCCCACGCGCCCAACCGCATCCCGTCTCCTCCTCAGGCTATGCGTGGACCCGCGGTAGCAGCAGTAGCGGTGGTGGCGGCGGTGGCGGTCCTCGCGAGCGCCCAGGTAGCGGGGGCGGCAGCGGCAAGGCGGAGCGGCGGCAGCGGCGGCGTGGGAGGAGGCGCCGGCGACCTGCAGGTGTCCGACGCGGCGATGGCGGGGCTGCTGGGGTCGCAGGAGGTGCAGTACCCCTACAGACCCGACACGTTCAAGTCGCCCGTCGAGCTGCGGCAGTACCTCAACGCCCTCGACGCCTACTACGCCATCGCCGGGAGACCCAGGTGGGGCACGGGGGGGGGGCTGGTGGGGGCCAAGGGGGCTGATGGGGGCAAGGGGGCCAAGGGGCCAAGGGGCTCATGGGGGCCAAGGGGCTGGTGGGGCCAAGGGGGCAAGGGGGCCACGGGGGCTGATGGGGGCCAATGGGGGGATGATGGGGGGCCAAGGGGCCAAGGGGGCAAGGGGGGGCTGATGGGGGGCAAGGGGGCCAGGGGCCAAGGGGGGGGGGCCAAGGGGGGGGGCCATGGGGGGCCAAGGGGGCCAAGGGGGCCAAGGGGGGCCAAGGGGCCAAGGGGGCCATGGGGGGCCAAGGGGGCCAAGGGGCCAGGCATGTGTTCTATTGTATGTTATTATTGTCATTTTTTATTATTTTTGTTATTATTATTATCATCATCATTCATTATTATTCATTATTTAATTATTAGGATAATTGATTATTATTATTATCATTATTAATGATAATAATTGAATATTATTATTATTGTCAGCATTATTCTTATCATCATTATTAGCAACATCACCCTCATCATTATCATTATCAGTATTATGATTATTATTATCATTATTATCATTATTATCATCATTATTTATATCATTATCATTATTACTATCATTATCGTCATTATTGTTATCATTAATTATCATTATTAATCTCATTATTTATTATTATCATTATATATTACATTAGTTATAATTATTATTATATTATATATCATTATCATCTTTATTATTATTTATCATTTATTATTATTATCATTATCATTATTATATTATTATTATTATTATTATTATTATTATTATCATTATTATCATTATATCATTATCATTATATCATCATTATTATCAATTATTATATTATCCCCCACCCCGCCCCCCCTCCTCCCCCAGGTTCGGCAAGCGAGGCATGCGCGGAGCCTCCCAATCGCGGCAGCTGTACTCCTCTGACCTCTACGATTACTGATGACCTCGCAGCGCCTGATGACCTCCAGCGCCGCACTTTCACTCCCCCCCCCCCCTACATCTCCTCCCATGAGATCCACGTCCTCCCCAACCCCTTCTTTAGCTCTACGGCCCTACTCCCCACCCACACCCCCATCCCCGCCCGCCCTGCCTTCCCTCCCTCTCTCTCTCTCTCTCCTCACTCGAACCCCAACAATTATGAGGAATTCGTCGAGAGAGTGTTCAGCATGGGGAGTACTTGTAGATTTTTGACCTACGTGGAAGGCCCAAAGACACACACATAAATATATATATTTATAAAGATACATACATGTATGTGTATATGTACGGATAGACGTATGTATGTAGATATAGACGTACATGTATACACCACCTTAGTTTGGCAGTTCATGGCTGTTTGATGAAGTAAAGGTCTTGTGTGCCCACTCCCCCTCCCCCCTTCTTCCCCCCCTCCCCCAGGTTGATATCGAGATTTCGCTCCACCTCAAGAGAGGGATAGAGCAAAGGAAATGGAAGAAGAAGAAAGAAGAGAGAAGAGAAAGAGGAGAGAAGAAGAAGAAGAAGAAGAAGAAATACAGTACTATGTCGTAACTCATTCACGTGTTCATTTTGTCTCATCTGCCTCCTTCTTTTGGATATCTATCTGTCTGTATATCTGTTTACCTCTTTTATCAATACTCTCCCATTTTTACCTTCTCTCTCTCTCTCTCTCTCTCTCTCTCTCTCTCTCTTCCTCTCTCTCTCTCTCTCTCTCTCTCTCTCTCTCTCTCTCTCTCTCTCTCTCTCTCTTCTCTCTCTCCTCTCTCTCTCTCTCTCAGCACCGAGTCTTAAGCCCACACTGGTCTCACTGTGTACTTGTCAGCCCAGCCTTTGCATGTACTACTCATTCTATATATATAAATATATTTGCTTATATATACAGACAATAAATAAAACGATCGAATTCCCCATAAAAAGTATATTTTGCATCATGTTGTGTGTATTGAAGACTTGGGGAAGAGAGAGGAAAGGCGAATGGAAGAGAAGGGAAGAGATCTACACTGTTATGTCACAGAAAACGGGGAAATGGACATGGACAAGGATAAAATATTAAGATCAGGATTAGAAAAGAAGAAAAGATAAGAAAATGAGATACATAGTGCAGGTAATACAGGTTATGGCACGGAATACATACATATATACATATATATATATATATATATATATATATATATATATATATTATATATATATATATATATATATATATATATATATATATATATATATATTGGAGATGATACGTTTAGAAAGCACTCTTGATTCAGATCGAAAGATATACATTAATTAATAATCATTATGAATTTATTGACAAGCGACAAACGCAAAAGGATAAAGATAATAGAATAGAAATGATGAAAAACAACCAAACAAAGAGAGGTAGATAAGGCAAACCCGAGTGACCCAAACCCCAAACATGACACACCTCTGTCAAGTAAAAAGGTCAAGAACTCAGCAAGACTTCATGATGCACAGGGAGATAGAAGACGGTCTCATGGTCATTCCTTGAGATGTATGGACGAAAGAGAAGCGAAGTGAATAAGAGGTGTGGAATGAATGAACGTGAAATGTATGAAAAAAGGAGAATAAGTCAGGAGAGAGAGAGAGAGAGAGAGAGAGAGAGAGAGAGAGAGAGAGAGAGAGAGAGAGAGAGAGAGAGAGAGAGAGAGAGAGAGAGAGAGAGAGAGAGAGAGAGAGAGAGAGAGAGAGAGAGAGAGAGAGAGAGAGAGAGAGAGAGAGAGAGAAGAGAGAGAGAGGAGAGAGAGAGAGACATTGATTTGATGGACATATTAAAGAGAATGATTCATTAGTAAAATGAAAAAAAAAACATAGATTACTATAAAAGATAATTATCATGGATGGCGAAGCATGGCATAAAAAGGCGACGAATGAATTTGCGCAAAAGGGACATCAAAGATTGGCAGAAAAGAGATAAAATGGACCAGCATAAGAGACGAAGCATGAATTAGAGATAAAATGAAAGACTTTCCTCAAGACATCTTTCCACATCTGGGTGCCATGCGCTCATCCTTTCCTTATTTTGGTAAAAAATAATTATCTCTTCTTTCGCCGTCTGTCCACATCAACATGCAGTTCATATATACATAATGATATGAATATATGTATTTATGTACATGCTTGTATAATGTGCACGTAGGTGGGTACAGAGTTCTGTGTGCGTGTGATTGCGTGATATCCATGCAAAACAGCAGACAATATTTGCTACAAATAACCACATTTAACTAATCCTAGCTTAAAGCCTGTGAACATTGACTCATCTTCTTCCTCTAATTCATCTTCTAACAGTATGTAAACACGAGGAACAATCTTCAGAATCACTTTAGGATTACAGGCTGTCAGAAACATATGCACTCTGTCATGTAATACAGTATTCTGGCCAAATGTTCTTATCTGGTTCAAGGATGTAAGGAGAAAGAAAGAATAGAGGAACTGCAAAAAAGAAGAGAAAGACTAGATACAGTATAATAGCTAAGGAATTTCTTCTCCGTGTCTTAGATATTTTCAACATGATCTTAATGTCTATGATTTTTTTTTCTTTGA